TTCGCTGCCATGCTCCTCTGGGGATCTTAGGCATGCACACACATGCACCCGGCGTGAGTTTTAAGCCACCGGGTCCGGGACACGAACCGCAGTCGACTACGTGGGAGTCCAGCAACATAGTCATTACGCTAACGGTTGGTCCCAAATCAACTTTCATAAGGGGAATCTACGGATTTTATGAGAGACTGGCAAATTACAAAATAAAACTAGAAGTACCTCATTACAATTTAGAGTTATACAGGTAACCGCCAGGAGAAAACAAATAGTCCAGCCATACTCCCTCTGTGGGTCCAAAACAGAGACTAGGAAGTGCGGCTTCTCACCCACAGCTCTTATTTTAAGTTTTTCTATAGGGCACATTTAGTGGCCAGAGATAGAGAGAGGTTGAGAAATCACACCCAGGGGGATCGTCACGCCACAAACGCCTTCTCCTTCATTCTCCTCGCGGGATTTTAGGTGCACACACAGGCACACGCACACACAGGCACACACACACACAGGCACACACACACACACACACACACACACACACACACACAGGCACCCAGCAGGATTTTATTTTATTTTATTTTATTTTTTAATTTGCTACAGAGCACATATGCTCACCAGAGAGAGAGAGAGAAGGTGAGAAAACAAGCTTCCAGGTGTGGGACTCAAACAAGGTCAGCCATGTGCAAGTGCAGCGCCTTAGCCACGCCACCTGCTGGCCCCAGCATCACTTTCACGGTTTTCAATGCAAACCACAGAGTTAGCTATGTGGGAGTCCAGCGCCTCAACACCACCCCCCCTGCTAGCCTCTAGAAGGTTCTCTTTATAAAAACAGTTCAACAGGAAAATTACAGAATTAGGACATGATCATTCTGTACCCTCAAATGAATTGAAGAACCGGGTAGAGGACAAGGCAGCTGCTAAACTCACAGAAAGAGCCGGCCAGACACACAGGCTCCGCCTGCAATCACAGAACATCCCCTGCGTGTAGCCAGGTGTCAGCCACTCCTGACCTGGCCTCTGGTCCCAGTTGCCCGACAGCACCCAGACGCCTACAGCTGGCATGTCCCTAAATGCCCCATCTTCACAGACAGTGTAAGGAAAAGAAAAGACAATTTGAGGGGTGGCAGGTAGTGTGATGGGTAAGGCACTGGGCTCTCACAGGGCCAACCAGGGCTCAAGTCCCAGACCTGGCGGCTTGCTTTCTCACTTTCCCCTCTCTCTCTCTCCGTCTCTCTGATCAAGCTGGAAAATAATAATAATAATAAATAAAGTTAAATTTTAAAAATTCTTTTTAAAAAATGATAATAAAAATAAATATTTTTTTTAAAATATGGATTGAAAGGGGATTAACGAGATGTTTAGAAATGGACAAAACTGAACCACAGCGTTCAGATTATGCCCTGGGTGAGCAAGCAGGAGAAGACATAAACTCTGTGAAGTGTTAAGACATTTTGTTGCCAAGGGTGAGGAGGCACTGGGACTGGGCTCATGGAAGAGTTTCTGGGATGGTGAGCTGGGCGGCAGTTACAAGTGTGTTTGCCTTGTAACAACTCACTAGTCATTGAAAACGTGTTCTATTTACCAATAAAAAAATACGACTGCCTTATGACTCAATGGATGCCCCAAGTCTGTAAACGTTCAGGGTGAGGCTTCGACCCATCTAACCATGGCTTCCCAGCACAAAACACAAGTCTCAGGACCAGCAGTTGGCGTAATGGCTATGTCGCTGGACTCCCACGTAGTCGACCACGATTCGAGTCCCAGACCCAGGGGCTTAAACTCACACCGGGGGCGTGCGTGCATGCCCAAGATCCCAAGAGGAGAATGGAGGAGAAGGGATTGCAGCGTGGCCATCTCCCCTGGGGGGTGATTTCTCACTTTTTGTCTGTCTCTGTCTTTCTGGTGAGCACACACGCCCTATAGCAAAAACCTCTCCAAAAAAAGGGGAAAAAAAAAAAACACCACAATTCCCTTCCAAGTTCAGAGGGATGACATCAGTGGCCTCTGGTGTGGCTGTGTATGAGCACGTGTCGGGGCCCTGACCCTGCTCACTATCCCGGGCTCAAAGAGGTGACGCGGAGGTGCCACACACACCCTGCTCGCCCTGGGCACCTCCTGCCTCTGCCTGTGGTCTTCCTTCCCACCCTGCAACTGGCCAGTGAGGAAGCACCCTGCCCTCACAGGTGTCCCCTGCTGCTGCCACCCAACACAGACAGGCACGGGAGCTGCAGGACGGAGAGAGGGGATGCCTGCGGGAAATTACGAGATGAGATGGGCACAGAGACACACAGACCTCGGAGGGCAGAGTGCACGGGGAGGACACGGCGCTGTCACTCCACGGCACTGACTGGGCGCCCAGCTCTGAGAAGTCCTGAAGCCTGGCCAGGGGTGGAGGCGGCACTGGCCCCGTGTTAGTACGTGGAGTGCTCAGAACACTGTCTGGCACAAACAGCCCTGCGTGTGACTGCTGTTTGCTTACTCCACTGTGTAAGGCCACCATTGAGCGCTAACTGAACCCTGAAAATGCTAAAGGGGAAATGCCACCTGCCCACGGGAAGGTTCCAAAGGCTGCTCCGTGAGACTGCAGATGCCAGGCGACCTGGATGCAGACTGGCACGTCCAAATCCACAGCCGTGTCCCCAACACCGACCACAGTGCTCTGGTAGGAGGAACATTCCACCACTGTCATCACGTGTTGTTCTCCGCGGCAGTGACAGGCACGGAATTTGATTATCTGCACACGCCAAAGCCCAGAGGAAGCTCTCGCTGGAGGAATCCAGCCCTTCCCGGCCAACCACCAGTTCACACTCACTGGAGCCACACCTCCACCCACAGGCAGGCCTCCCTGAGAACTTCAACGCCCTACCCAGTTGGGGACAGACAGCAAACACAGTATCTTTTTAGATAAAGAATTAGAAAAAAAGAAGGTTGTACTGGCCGGCCTGGCTTCACGAACTATTTAAGAGTAAAGTGTCAGCCAGAGGAGCTGACCCGCAGGACACGCCGCACCACGCGAGCCAGATTTCTGTTCCACATGGCAGAGACCCTGGTCTAAGCCACCCCGCAGGCCCCATCTGAAGTGCGGCAGGGCCCCCACAGTAGAGGCCCTGGTCTAAGCCACCCCGCAGGCCCCATCTGAAGTGCGGCAGGGCCCCCACAGTAGAGGCCCTGGTCTAAGCCACCCCACAGGCCCCATCTGAAGTGTGGCAGGTCCCCAGCCGCTGCAGATCCCGTACTTACACAAGGTAATTCCCACAGTGGACTTTGGAGCTCCAGTGGCTAATGAGTAACAGCCCCGCCAACACCACAATGCTGAGCA